TTGATTTGTGATATTTGGTAATTGAAATTCAATCTAGATCTAGCTTACATTGATCAGTGTTGGAAAAACGTACTTGTACAGGCATGAAATCGTTGGTCTTGTTACAAGAACTGGAAGTGATGTTCAGAAGTTTAAGGCTGGTGACCGAGTTGGAGTTGGAGTGATGGTCGGCTCATGTAAGACATGTGACATCTGCCAACAAGACCTGGAGAATTACTGTCCCAAAGTGATATTTACTTACAACTCCAGGGATCAAGACGGCACAAAAACATATGGTGGTTATTCTGATATAATTGTTGTTGACCAACGCTTTGTGCTTCACATTCCCGATAACTTATCATCAGAAGCATGTGCACCTTTACTGTGTGCTGGGATCACCGTCTACAGTCCAATGAAATACTATGGGATGACTGAACCTGGAAAACATTTGGGCGTGGCCGGACTTGGGGGACTTGGTCATGTTGCTGTGAAGTTTGGGAAGGCCTTCGGGTTGAAAGTTACTGTCATCAGCACCTCTCCGAAGAAAGAATCTGAGGCTATCAACAAGCTTGGTGCTGATTCTTTTCTTGTTAGTACTGATCCTGCTAAGTTGAAGGAAAGTAAAAATTAGTCTGTATTGATTAGCAAAACTCTCACCAACTTTAATTTTCCAAGGGGTATAGTAGGAAAATAAGTATTTTGGTTATTTGAATTCTAGGTCACCGTTGACCTCCAAAAATGTGTCAACAGGTGTCGTTCAAAATGATGTACACGTGGACGTGTTCTTAATATGTCGATTACGTTCTTAGACACATGTTCGATCACTAATCTAATATGTCAAAATAAATAAGATAGATATGCACGTGTATGAGTAGGAATTATAGGGCAATGAGTGAGTTCATGTGGAGAACAAAATACAATGCTCTTCTTTACATATGAAGATCCATCCTGCAAAATGTTATAAAGATAGCTATTTATAGTAACCAAGCCAACATAGTTACCGTTGGATCAAATCCACGTGGCCTGATCTGCTAGAACTTGGTGTCGCATCATCCTATCTCACATTAATTATATTTACAGACATTTGGGGTCAGTCACCCTACATTTCTTGGCTGACATTCGTTAATGAAGAGAAGGTTGTACAGGGCCGTGCTGGATGATTAATTGTC